TATAAAGTTTATTATTATTTTCATTAAACTTAGAAAAGAAAGGTATATATTTAATTAATTATTGATTAATTATAATATATCCAGAATAATTATAATCTCATGAATATTCCAATAAATATCATACTTAATATTACAATTTTCTTAATGCAAATTAAAAATGATAACAATTATTTATTAATTCAAATATTTTAGAAAAATCTTATTTCAAATCTTAAATTAAAAAAATTCTAATTTTAATTGTTAAGTTTAAAAATTTAAACTGTAAAGAAGAGTTTAAATATTTTAAAAAGAATATATATATAAAGATTGTAACTTTTGTCACTTGATTTGCAAATTTTCATAACATTTTTAATTTTCAATTTTCGATTTTAAATATGAAAAATAAATTCAGTAATGGACAATACTTGAATGATGTGAACAAAGATGATAGTTGGATACCATGTCTATTGACTTATTGTCAAGACTAACCGGTCAGTCGTTGAAATGTCGAATCGTGAAGTGGACGTTACGAAACTACCTATGCAAGATGTTTGCTAAAGCAAAGGTACACGATGGTCGACAGAACGTACGGAAGCTTTAAAATTACCACTTACGCGTACTTACGCTACAGATAAACGCCGTCCAGTATTTACAGATTCACGCTTCGGTAACCTTCGACGTCACTAAAAGTCAGCCATATGTTTGCGTATGTGTTGCATATATAAACAGGTAACGACGCGAAGAAACTCTTGCGTCAGATTATTCTATCAGTGCATTAATTATGGCGATTAAAGATTACATGATTATGTGAATAAAGGAAAAAATGAAAAATAAGACTGTTACGTATATTTCATTACGAATTTTAAAATTAATTGTAATTGTGATCAAAATGATCAAAAGTATACATGATCTTCACTCCTAACTTTATACTTTCATTTAAGTGTTAAAGAAAATCTCATTGTGATAAAAAAGTTTTCTTTTCTTTTAAAACCGAAGTTTTCTATAAACTTAACCTCTTAAATGCTTAAATTCAATGTAAGAGCAATTGTTGAGAAAATATGCAGATTTTAAAATTTATAATTTTGAAAAATTATAATAAATAATTAAAAAATTGATAAATAATTTCGAAAACATTCAATTTTAAATAATATTTATTTTAAACTATGTGACTGATTCCAGGTTAGATAAAAATGTCTATTTACTATTGTAAAGAAGCAAACTAATTTCCTAGCGAACTCCTGTAAAACAGACACAACGTTTGCTGGGCATAAAAATATCGGAACCGGACACTTCGGACCGACCAGATCCGGTTCATTTTTCCCCCGCGTATAGCGTACGCGCGTGCGCAACAAAGTTTCCACGAAATGGAACCGTGGTCACGCCTGAGCTACCTAACGGAGGTAGAAAGATATTGCGCTAATGCGTTCCACGTGGGGTCACCCTCCTCTTCCCCCTGCTGGAATAGCCGGTGCATGGGCCAGTACTACCGTACTCACTTCGCGCATAAAACCGACCTCTCCTGCGTCCATACACGCATACACTCGCTTAAAAGAGTCTCGCTTTACGGACAAGCAGCCTAGCTCATGCCAGTGCCTCTCATTACGAATCTAACCGCGCCCACGTAGCGGTATCGAGACTACGTATATTTCTCTGCCACGCCTGACCGACCGTAATAACGCTATCCCTCGTTTTATGGGGTATTTATTACGTTGCGTTGCTATGCTTTTCTACGAATCTGCAAAAAATTCTTATGCCTCTCAATACAATTATACGCACATGTATATGTATATGCGCGCACGCGCGCGCGCTCAACCACTTCACGGATTCTATCTGGTCGTAACTCGAGAAAGGCGTGTCGAAAATCGACGAACTGGCACCGACTCTCATGTATCATGTGACTCTAATATCGGGCGGCGGATGCGCTACGAGACGCAGGCATTTTTTTCTATTAATTTGTTATTCGTTGTTTAGAAATTACACTGCTCTTTCCCTCTCATTTCCTTATCTAATTATAAACAGACATAGTTATTACTTTCAAATATTTGATTATCAATCGACTAGTTCATCGGTAGTTAAAGAAATGAATTTCAAATGGACGCATGACGCTTCGCAACGCGATATGTCCAGACAGAACGATGTAAGATAATGCATTTGTCGCTTCTAACCCTGTCTATCTTGTTCAAAGACAAAGGAAATGAGTATTGCTGCTCATGCGCGTCGCGTAAATAGGACAGCCACTATATAGTCCGCTTGTAGAACGAGGTCACGAAAATTAAATTTTCTGATTAACAGCATGCACGCACACATCCACCCAGCAACAGCCGGCTGTCACATAATATTGTACGTCATTCAATTTTTTGCTCTTACCTGTCAAAAATGCGTTGCCTGTAGCTTAAAAATAAGTAGCGTAAGTAACAACGAGCAGTTGCTGCAATTCGTCGAGCATGTCATCGATACTGGCAATGGCGTGTTATCGCGCGCGAGAACGCGTTTTTCTCGGTCTCTGAAAACACGCCGTGAACACGAACAAGCTGGATACGCGCATGCGCGCAGACCGCGTTTGATGCGCGCTAACCTGTGCTCCGATGCAACGAGACCCGGTACGGATGACGTATCAAACCTCGTTATGCCTAACATGCCTTACTCGCAGATGCTTTGTTCGTTTTCTCTTTAACCAAAGCAATAAGCTATACGAATGAGAAAGAAATATACTACACGTATGTAAATATGAATGAAAGTAAAATTTTTATTCTATTCTTTCTTTTATTATACTTTTTTTATATTGTTTTGTATTTTCTCAATTTTTCTTTTATATTATATTTCTTTTTTAGTTCGATTTAATAATATAAAAATTAATTTTTTTATTCAGTTGAACGAAAATTAAATTTATAATATTAAAAATTAACAAATTATAAATAATTCATTAACGTAACATAACCTCCAAAAAAAATAATAAAAGTAACAAATTGTTAAATTGTAAAAATTAAAAAAATTTAAATTTAATAAAAATTAACAAAAATTTAAATTAAAAATAGCTACATCATTCGTATATCCATCGTCTGAAGATTATTTCGAAAATTCTGAGAAGATGATCGTTTTCTCGAAATACATAAAATTAAACGAAAAAGAAGAAAGAAAGAAGAGAGAAAAAATAAAAAAAAAAATTTTAATTCAAAACTCACCTCTTGACCGTTCGGTGCAATTATAACATCCACTTCGTCTTGATGTTCACGATGTTGCGTGACCTCCGCGTGAATTTCCCGTCCGTTATACGTCAAATAGACCTTCTGGCCGGGCACGAGGCGTGCGCTGGTGACGGAACCGAAGCCTGGTCCGATCAGGTCGCGATCAGAGTATTCGGTGCTGGGACTTGGCGGACGACCGCCGGGTACGGAATCGAAGCGTACGGAATAACGAGTCTTCGGTGTAATACTGAGGCCTGACTCGGACGCGGCTGACGCCGGCGTTTTTACGGCGTGAATGACGCCACTATAATATTTCCCGTCTTCCCCGGGAGCACACACTCTGGTGCCGATTATGCTACGTTTCGCCAGCCTCTTACCCGTCGACATTATTCGTGGTTATTTATGGATAAACGATCGTTTCGATCACTTTATTAAATCGTTTAACAAGAATGCACTGATATTTCTTACAATAGAACACCTTATAACAAATCGTTCTCAAAAGTATCTCGCGCAAATTGGTATTTCATAAAGATCATTTGCACTACAATTTAACTCACCCTTCTATTATCGTCTTTGAAATTTTCGTTGATAAATATACGTGTACGTATATCGTGAACAAATCGGAAGCCGGAATATATTAATATCACACCAAAGAGAAATAATAATTTCACGCGCGATTTAACAGTTAAACACTTGTGAAGAGACGATACGAGTGTATCTATGATTTGATTGAATATTAGGAAAAACACTCCCGGAAATAAAACACTTGTTATATTCTTTTTTTTTCCTTCCTATCGAAGTTCCGTACTGTAGCACGTTACTTTAAGTCATTGTTCCACGATCACTCGAATACACACTGAGGACAGATCGGGCAGTTTTACGTTAAATTGCAATTGCGTTAGCAAATGCGATCCTAGACCGAAGAAGGACGCGGTGGCCTTCGCGGCCTGAACACAGAACTCAATGTATCAACAAAACGGCGTGCACCGTTGCCTGTGTTCGTCACGCCGTCTGCATGTTCGAGGCACTTCGTGATTGATTTGTGGTAATACGTTGGCGTATACGCGGTAGATAGCATAATATATGACTAATGCTTGCCAGTGAATAGAAATTCAGCGGTATTCTGTAAGCTGAACGTACAAGCGGTACACGATTTGATGGTATACGGACAGGAGTAGGGTCCGCGGTAGCCGACATGTGACGCACAGCTGAGCAACCGGGAAGGACTGAGAACAGAGTACCAAGCGGCTTTCACTGCGCCGGCCGGCCACCCGCCGCCCGGGAAAAACAGCTGATAGATAACAACAAACCCACGTGACCCGGCCTCGAGCACCGATTGGACGAGCGCGCTGACCTACTTACTCCTATTGGCCGTCCGCCCGGACAACGAGAAGAACGGGAAAAAATCGCAGACTAGAACCCTAGCCAAAGCACTTTGCTCACGAAGACCTTCCACTTTCTCAGCCCTCTCCTTTTTTCGTACGCTTGTACTCGGCGTCCCTTCTGGCGTCTCTCTTTCTCACTACACATAAAGTATGTCGATTATGTAGAAACTCTATATGCAATCACTATATTTTATTAAATTAATGTAAAAATATTCATAGAAATATCAATTTTACATAGTTTCTACAAATAAAACTTTTACAATCAGCTGGTAGTTAAATACACAAAGCGGTCATTTTGTCGTCAGCTGAGAACGCTTGTGACGAAATCCAAGCGAGTGATCAGTCTGCCGACAGTTGTGTCAAAGAAACCTCGTTCTGTAAGATATTCCTATTGCCGCTCGTATACCATACTGTAATATCTTTTTAATGAAATACCTTATATTTTTATAAGATTTCTACTTTTTGTGAAAGTAATGTTTGTACAAGAATAACAATTATATATTTTATGTTAATAAAAATCGTTTTAGCAGAGAAAAATCGTGTTTATGGTTCAGCTGTCAGTAGAAGGCGGCCATTTTACGTCAGCTGAGAAGGTCGGTGACGACACACGACGAGTGAAATATCTTCGCATAGCGTTGCAACTTCAGGGAATGTGTCGCAAAGAACCTCACCTTCAAAGCTATTTCCAAGGTTTGTTTTTACATTGTATATATATTCGTACATATTCATATTATTTTTCTAAATAATAAATTTATACTGCCTGCTAAATATAACGAAACTCATTAAAAACTCATTAATTCAGATTCGATAAAAAATTCGATATTTTATAATTTTTTAATCACTTTATTTTGCGTAATAATACTTTCTTTACAATGTAAAATTATCATCGATTCAACATTTAATTGCAATAATATCAAATTGTAGTTCATGTAAGCTGAGGGCGCCAGTAACGAAACACGTAGTAGAGTGGATAGTCTACAACAGCGCTGATATATTTTCTTAGCCAATGCGTAACAGTTTTCGGAAATTGGTAAATGGCGATAATCTTCCATGAATTTCAAGTGATTTTTAATAAAATTCGATTATAATTGTAACAATTAAAAAATTAAATTAATTTGAAAATATTACACCGATAAAATGATCAAATGCAACGCAGTTAATAAAGGTGAGGTAGTTGCAGTGCCATACCGTATGCTTGTCATGGCGGCGAGGAGGACGAGCAATAAAAATGGCCGGAAGATACAAGGGGCAGTGGGGAGGGATAGTAAGGCCGAATAGAAGGCAGCGGTCCACGCGTTCTCAGCAGCCTATCCTAGATTTATTTCCGTGGATGTTGCGCAATAATATGCTGCGTTGTTAGCTCACTGAATGCTACCCCTCGTTTGGTTTCGAAGAGGTGCCAAGGGCTAGTGAGTAACATTTAATTGTCACCGGCTACCATTTCTTTCGTCGTATAAAAGAGCGTGATTATGTTTGTTGTGTATATGCATTATAATGTTATTTTTCATTGTCAATGTAATGGAAACTTAGTCATCTTCGTGTTATATTAATGTGTCTGTTTAACGCTAAACACGTTAACATGGAAACAATTTTCATATGAAGAATTTCGAATGAAAATGTGAACTTCACAGAATTTTTATGCTAGGTTTTTATCAATTTTTAATTAGCTAAATATGATAGCTAATAAAAATATGATAGCTTAAATTTTTATTATATACTAATAATGAAAAAATAATAATGAAAAAATAACTTGCAGGAAAAATCATGATTTAATTATGTTTTAAAGAAATTTTTATTTTATATAAAAAAGTATTTACATGTAATAATTATTTGATTTTACAAAATTTATTGTTAATTTAGCTAGCTTAATTTTTTATTATTTATTTGTTAATATTATAGCAAAATATGTTAAACTTATTTTTTCAATATAAAAAATTATTTAATTTTGATATTTTATAAATACATATGATATATATTTTTATATATTTTTTATCAAAAATACAATATGATGTAGATAAAATTTGTATTTTACTTTTTTAAATTAATAATTATCTTTTTTTTTATTTATTTTGTTTAATAAAAATAATTTTTTTAAATATAAAATTCTGTTCCTGTTCTCTATAGATATTGATTCTAATCTCGAAATTTATCATTAGTTTAGTTTACACTTAAATTATCTTTTTAATGAAAATTTCTGACATATTCATAAATAATATTTATTAAAATTTGTTTCCATGATGTCATCATAAACACACGAAAATTTCATAACAAGCCAAATATTACAACTAAATATTAGCCAATAAATAATTGTATTTTCGCCAACTTTTATTTTAGATTATCCCATATATTCTTTTTGAAAAAAAGAAAAGATTCCTGTCGAAAAGTAAAACGATAAGAAAAATCATCGAAATACTTTGATGACGTTTCTCGATCGTTAACACATTTATGCGATATACACACAATCATATTGCAAGATAAGATTACGTTAGAGAGGTAATCATGAGTCGCATGAAAACGCAACAATCTCTGTCAGAAGTGAATTTACGTTCGAAATTAGTTACGGTTTACAAAGTTTAACGTAAAATTTCAATATTATGACTAATAATACTACTGTTTATTTAATTATTGTATTAATTATTTCAATGTTTTTCGAAATCGGAGTTTCGGCACAATATTCACAACAATGCTCTTCATTTTGTACATGTGATACTTGGTACAATTTAAAACGCGCTTCTTGCGTAGGTCGCCATCTTTATAATATAGATGCAGGTGCACCAAACAATGTACAAGCCTTGGACTTATCGGATAATGTGATATCATTAATAAATAATTTTGAATTAGAGGTATTTTTAAATTATATTTTTCTTGATTACTTTATAATTAAATATAAAAAATTTAATTAAATTTTATTAAAAACAATTTTAAAAATTATTTAATATCTTAATTTTTTGATTATATTAATTATAAAATATTATGAGAGATTTATATTCTATATGTTATAAAATTTATTGTTTTAGAATGCTGAACTGACGAAGTTACGATATCTTAATCTTTCCAAGAATGCAATCAGTGAAATTAGTTTGAATGCTTTTGATGGTCTTACAAGTTTAACAGTCTTAGACTTATCGAAAAATCGACTTCATTATATTTTAGATGAAATTTTTGAAAAAAATGAGAATTTACGAATTTTGAAATTGTCAAATAATAATTTCAAATCACATATACCAAAATTGAGATCCTTTTCGTTAATGGTAATAATAGAAACAACAATTCAAATTTAATATTGATCAAAATTTTCAACAGATTTATGATAAAATAAATTATAATTTAAAAAAATTATATATTTAATCACATGAAATAAATTTTTATATAGGAATTAAGTTTGGATTCATGTCAGATCAGTCATTTACCACTGGACACATTCAATGGACTCACACACATTCGTCGTCTCGATCTTTCAAACAATTTGATGATTCAGATGAGCAACACTATTGTGCAAACATTGCATTTTTTGAAGAAATTATCATTAGAAGGGTATGATAAACAAGATGTATGAAATTAATATGATATTATTTTAATAAGATAGTTATTTCACATAAGAATTTAACTTTTATACTTAAAATTCTACTATAATTTATTTCTTATTAATAATACTCTCATATTTTCAAATATTAATGATATTATTAATGTAAATAATATTTATACCTGTTACCATGTGTAGATATGTTAGAATTGATTAAAGTAAATACAATTTATATCATTTTTTTTCAGAAATCCATGGTCTTGCAACAATGTTATACATGATTTACAAGTATATCTCAAATATAAGAATATTGAATTCAATGAAATTTGTGGTAAGAAAAATAATCCTCAGAAATTTGAGAAAATGATCCTTCTTCCTGTAACAAGATCGCGCAATTATCATCATTCGGCAATTATGAATACATCTACTAAAAAAATTAAATCGATAACAAAATATAATACACCAAGTATATTAAACAATAAAAATTTGTCGATATGCGAACAAATGATAAATCAAACACATATTATTAATTCAACGAATAAATTTGTATCATATTGGTTTCTCTGCCTTGGTTTTATAGCTGGTATTTCAAGTGGATTAGTTATTTCTTATATTTGGTTATCAAGAAAACATTCTCATAATCCAAGATACTGGTATCATAGACAATTTCACGACGATTTAGTCTCTCAAAGAATGTCTTTGTTAAATTCGTTCTTACAAGGACGCATGGATAGTAACGGAAGCTTGATAGAATCTTGTCCAGGTACTCCTCCACCGCCATATCGGGATGTTATATTACGACCTACTCTTTATCGCTATCCATCAATAGTTTCAAATTTAAATAATAATGATACCGGATATAGAGAAAGATATACATAATTTCATGAGGTAACTCATTGTTATGAGTGCAACAAAATGTTGCAACGTAATTTATTAAGCGACGAAATTCTAACTTTTGTATATGTTATTTTTCATGTATTATGAATTTTAGATCAATAATATCAATAACAATAATCAAATTAACAGATTATATATATATCGAGAAAACAATTTGGATAAAAATAAATTTAATAAATTAATTATCGATAAATTATTATTAAAAATATATACACATATATTTTTTCATTAACAGTATTTCATCAATCAAAATAAAATATGAGTTATATTTACATATTTACGTAAAAATATAAAATTGTAACATCTATAATCGAAAATATATTTTTTGTTTTCATATAATAGAATTAATAACAATACATTTTCAAGTAAAATCAAATATATATAAACTTATGCATGATTTATTATACAAACTCGATTCTTTGTTTTGAACACAACAATTTAAACACAATCATTATGATTGTTCGATGGGTTTAATCATTGCGTAGCAATCATATTATTTTTATCTATATTTTGACTTGTACTTAGCGTAACAGTTTTACAACCGATCGCAGTTATTATATTTTCCATTATTTCATGATTGTATCTCGAACCTCGTAGATTGGTTATCACGCTCGCATCTTGACTAAAATCTTCTGCTACTAAACTGGCTGGCAGTCTCATCTTGATTTCTTCAATGATACCATTCTGGATTTCTAATGTCAAATTAAGTCGATGAACTTTGTTGTTTCGCGTGACCATATCTAAAACACGTGTTACCGTAAATTTCGGTGTTTTACCATAATTCCATTCCCAGGAACGAAACTCGCTTATTAATTTGTTCAATCCTGAAAATTTTAGATAAAAATATAATTAAGAATACTATTTTTATTTAATTCTTTTATATAAATTTATTAATTATTAATTTCTTAAATAAATTTATCATAAACTGATGTTGCCAATATATAGTAATATTTCAAGTATTTGATAAATATTGTAAAAATATTATTAAAAATTTATTACAACAACATTTAAGATAAATCTTAAATAAATCTCAACATTTAAGATTCGAAATTAGAAATTAAATTTTTTTTCTTTTTAATATTTATATACCTGGAAACCAATCTTCGGTGGGATTGATATATTGAAATCCTTTTTGACATTGAATAAGATCTTGTCCACCATCTTCTAGGACGAGAGCTTTAGTTCGGAGATATTCCCAACCTATTGCAGTAATGAGTTTGTCCATTTGAATATGACAATTTATGTCAATTAAATTTTTTATTGGAGAACGCGTGGATACTGTAGCATTTGTTTCTATACCATTCTGAAATATACATATAAATATATATATTTCTTATAATGAATAATATAAATTCAAAAATATTAAAAAATTAATTTTGTTTTTATGTATTAAAAAAATTAAGCTTGAAAAAATATAAAAGTTTTTTTGCTATTTAAATTTTAATTAAATATATCTATAAATTTAACAATGAATATAAAATGAATATAAAAATACATAAATAATATTTATTATATCGCTATTATGTACATATGTTATTATATATAAAATATGATAAAAATTCGAAAAAAATTACCTTTTTTTCTTCGAGAGCTAAGTATAATGCTGTTTTGTTTACATTTACTAATAATGTGCAATGATGATATGCATTAGGCCGTCCTAATTTCGCTGCAGTACCAGATATCTGTATTTTAAAATAGTTAAGGATACATAGGTAGTTTTTCGGCAAAGCGCAATGCTTTGCTTTTAAATATGTAGGTTGTTCCAATTTCTTTTATAATTTTTTTTTGTAAAAAATAAAAAAAATTATTATTGTTTTTATTTGAATATTAATATAATTTTAAGACAAAGCATATCAAAGTATCTGTTATTAAAATTTTTAAATATAAAACTAAAAATTTGAAGTATAAATTTAGATATAAAAGATATAATTAAATCAATTATATTAATGTTATGAATTTCAGAAGAAATAACATCGTTATCCTTATTCATTATTATTATTCATTCCAATTCATTTGATATTAATGTGATCTTTGTCATTGAATATATAATTTTGGAACATCCCAAATAAGCAGATATATATATGTATTTATAAATATTTTTGATACATTACATGAAAGGATACTTTGCATTTTCCTTCAACAATGATGTCCTCGCGTTTATTCACCTCTGCTTCTATACCCCATTCTCGATACAGAGCTCTGGTAATAATCTCTAGATTGTATTTTCGATTATATCGTTCCCGCGGTGTGAAGAAGGACAAATTCAAATTACCAATATCATGATAGACAGTACCGCCACCACTATTGCGACGAGCTAACACTATACCACGTTTTTCAGCTAATTGAGAGTTGTGTTCGATCCATGGATTTTGGTGACGTCCGATTACTACACACGGATTGTTACGCCATAGAAGTAATATGTGGTGATTTTTAAAATCATAATTTTTATAGAACCAATCTTCTAACGCTAAATTGGTAAATATATCTGTGGATTGCGATATGAATACTGACTTTTTAATTGAATTATTAGGGTCATCTTGTTTTTCATTAAAACTCGTAGAGTATCTAGATATATGATACAAATTATTGTATTGAAGTTTTCGTTTAACAACAATTATAAATTTGTTAATTAGTGACATGTTTTTAATGTGCACGTGCAAATAAAATTTTCTTCGTTTTTTTCGCACTCATACACACTTTTTCTTCTTTTTTTATATTATAATGAATCGAACGGCAAATGTGTATGTCGATACCGATATGAAAACTCCCTGGAAATGGTGCAATTATCTCGTGAAATCAGTCTTTGCTACTAAATCTGTGAAGATTTTTATACCGCTGTATATATAGCGAGATCAGCCTTGGTAGCGGTTAATATTTCTGTCTGTAGATAGCAGGTCTACTGACAACACTTTTTTGAGAAGTTTGACTGACTCGCAGTTATAGAAATCAAATAATCGTGAAGAGTAATTGTTTGATGCAACCACTTCCACGTTTGATCCAGGGAGTTAATACGGTATCGGATACCTAAACAATCTCGACAATCCTTTTGCATTCCTCTGTGTACTGAGAGATTGAAAAGAACATTCAAATTATCCACACAAACGATGTAGAGCGACCTCTTCCTATCACTGCGTAAATTATGCTAAAGAGTAGCTTGTTCTTTTTATAAGGTTATATCACTTGAAAACGAAGTATACACAGTTACAAACGTGTGCCAAAATTCACTGATGCACTCGTCGATTCACAATGAATACTTTAGCATTGAATTTTGATGTTATATAAACTCAGTCTAGTTGAACAAAGCAGAGGGGGGTCTTTAAACACATGCAAAGAGGTTATCTAAGTTCACAGCACAAAGTACAGCTGACCTGTTCATGATAGTGCAACGCAACTCTCTGTGAATTCTCGTGAATTCTCTTCGTGATCAACCCTCCCACAAAGAGTTTCAGACCCGTAAATAGACTTTCATAGTTATTTTTTTTAATTTTGTAATAAATCATTAAATACCTATTAAAAATATTTAGACGAAATATATATAGCTTTTGATATAAATTATTTGCTTAAAATATTCTATATATCTATAAATTTTGTGTATTTTAAAATTTTATTACATTATTTAATTATTATATATATATATATGTATGTATGTAAATTTTTCTTTAATACAAAGTAAAAATTAAAAAATGTCAAAATTAATTTTTAATAAAATTAAAATTAAAATTTTTATTTTATTAAAAAATAAAAAATTAAAATATATTATTTGTAAAATATGTACTTTTTAACAATTGCAAATAATAAATGTAAATAGAAAATAAAATTTTATACTTTTTATATACGATACTGTATTTTATATTTATGTCTCAATTACATGTAAACATGTATACTATGAGAGGAGGTAATTAAGGCCAATTGATAAGGATATCCCCTACTCTTCTACATCATACGTATCGTTACTATTGCATTTATAATTATATTGACATGACATTTTTAATTACTGTGATATAAATTTTTCATTCTGAATACTCACTTAGTTAACCTCCTTTATGTCAACTTTTTAATATTACAAATTTTATCTAACTGTTTTTGATAAAATAAAAATTAATGATAATTTAATTTTGGCTAAAAAGTTTCATATATAAACTATATTCATATTATTGTTACATTCTTACAAAGAATGAGATAAGATTTGAAATTTTTGAACAAAACAGATATCGTAAACGCTTTATGCCTAACATATTGCTATATTTAAACGTGAGACATTGTCAAATTTATTAGAAATATAATGAAAATATTTTATGTATATATATATATATATATATATATATATTCATATATATTAATAATATATAATTTTATAATATATAAATATATTAATATTTCGATATAATTCTAATTAATATAAGATATAAGATAGAAAAATATTTATAATATAAATGTTTATAATAAAATAAAGTAAATAAAATTTATTTATAATAAATAAATATATTATTAAGAATAATAAAAGCTTATTGTTAAAAATAATAATTTTTATACAATTTATTCATATATAGATAAGCAAAAATAAAAATAAAAATTATAATTTTTTACTTATAATATTATGTGTAAGATGTCAGAAAAGTATATTTTAGTATAATATTATATTATAAAGTTATATTTTTGTATATATTACGTGTAAAAAATTTATATCATGGCTGTATTTATAATTGTTAATATGTTTGCAAATTCATATAAAATTCAAACTAAATTTTATAAGAATTTGTTCAAATTCGCAGTTAGTAAGCACTCTCAATTTGTTCGGACATTGGCTTTTTCGACTGTGAAAGTAAAGTTTTTTATTAATACAGTTGTTTATAAATAATATCACCATAATTTCAATTACATTTTCAAAAATCCAGGTGTTTGATTCTACGGTACAAAAACGTATAAATATAAATAAAAAAATGGAAAAATTACAATACCCTGAGGCATATCGCGATGAAAGCATTATCGATAATTATCATGGTATTGAGGTTAGAATAATAGATAAGCTTTTTTAATAAAATATTTTTAAATATGTAATATGTAATAATATTTCTTTAATAATAAAAAAAGCTTATTTTTATAAACTAATATTAATATGAAAAGTATTTTTATTTAATAATCAAAGTAAAACAAACTTAAAATAAAAATTACAAGTAAAATGATTTATGACTATTTTTATTAGGTTCAAGATCCATACAGATGGTTAGAAGATCCTGATTCTGAAAAAACTAAAGCATTTGTTGATGCTCAAAATTCTATTACTACACCATATTTAACTTCATGCAAAGCACGTCAAGATATTCATGATCGATTAAAACAATTATGGGATTTTCCAAAATATTCATGTCCTGCTAGATATGGGAATAAATATTATTTCTATAAAAATACTGGCTTACAAAACCAAAGGTAATAATAAATACTAATTTGTATTTGATATTATTAAGCATAAGTATTATCTTTTCCAGTGTTCTTTATGTACAAGATACATTGGATAGTGAACCTAGAGTATTTTTAGATCCAAATACTTTATCAGAAGATGGAACCATTGCAATTACTATCAGTAAATTTAGCGAAGATGGTAGCATATATGCATTTGGTTTATCTGCTAGTGGATCTGACTGGTGTACTATTCATTTTATGAATACAGAGACTGGTACAATTTGCATTTTTTGATTGTAAAAGAATGTGTTTTACTCTATATATTTATTATGTTATTATTTGAATAATAAATAATATATAATATATAGGTGAAAAATATCCAGAGATTTTGGAAAAAGTTAAATTTTCTCCAATAACATGGACACATGACAATTGTGGAATTTTTTATGGTTGTTATCCAGATCAAAAAGGTAAAACTGATGGTTCAGAAACAGAAGGTAATCGAGATCAAAAACTGTGTTACCATATTATTGGTACACCTCAGTCAGAAGATATTATAGTAGTTGAATTTCCTGAAGAACCTTTATGGAGGATGTGAGTGATTCATTATGTATGTGTTTTAATAAAAATTGATTGGTTGTAATAATAGTATAGATAAAATTATATTAAATATTTTATAAAGATACTTTTAATTGAATATAATCTAATACATTTGTTATATTTATTTTCATATTAGAGGTGCACAAGTTTCTGATTGTGGAAAATGGTTAATTGTCACACCTGTGAAAGATTGTAGAGATAATTTAGTTTATTTTACGGAATTGAAGCCAGAAATAAAAATAAAGGAAAAATTACATTTAACTCAAGTAGTTGATAAACTTGAAGCTGATTATGAAGTTAGTGACATACAATATAAATATCTTAGTTTATAATTATTTTTTTTTTACTTATTCTTTTTTTTTTTTTTAATTAGTATGTAACAAATGATGATACAAAGGCAATATTTCGGACTAACAAAAACGCACCAAATTATAAATTAATAGCTATAGATTTATTGGATTATAAACAAGAAAAATGGGTTGATCTTTTACCAGAACATCCTGATAATGTGTTAGATTGGGCATGTGCAGTTGATGGTGATAAATTTGTAGCTTGTTATATTGAACATGTTAAGGTATGAACTTTCAAATATAGAAATAATATAATAATTTACAAATTAAAAATAGAATTAAAATATTAATGTTATATATTCATTTTAGAACATTTTACAATTACATAGCTTAAAAAGTGGTGATATACTTAGAACATTTCCTCTTGATGTTGGTACAATAGTTAATTTTGCAGGACAAAAAAAATATTCTGAAATATTTTATCAGTTTAAATCATTTTTAATTCCTGGTATTATATACAGAGTTGATTTGAAAAATGAAGAAGAACCACAAGTTAGTATTTTTTTCATAAATAATATTATATTCAAATATAAATATAACATATTAAAAAATTAAAAAAATATTAAAAAAAAACAAATTATACATGTATATTATATATATATAAATATTTTTTCAGATATTAAGAGAGATTAAAGTAAAAAACTTTGATCCCAGTTTATATAAAACTAGTCAAATATTCTATACAAGTAAAGATGGTACAAAAATTCCAATGTTTATAGTAATGAAACATGTAAGTATTTTTAATACTATTTATTATATTTATAATAAATAAAATATAATAAATTTTTATTATACAGGATGCAGTTTTGGATGGTTCCATGCCGGCTTTATTATATGGTTATGGAGGCTTTAATGTGAGCATTCAACCGACATTTAGCGTTACAAAGCTGGTTTTTGTTCAGCATTTAAATGGAGTACTTGCTGTGGCAAATATTCGTGGTGGCGGGTACATCGTGCAGACATCAATGTTAATAAATATAATTCTATATAAAATTTTATAAAATTTTATACAATTTCAGAGAATATGGAGAAAAATGGCATAATGGTGGACGATTCTTTAATAAACAGAATGTATTTGATGATTTTCAAACTGCTGCTGAATATTTGATTGAAAACGGTTATACTACATCTTCAAAATTAAGTATTTTAGGTGCCAGTAATGGTGGTTTATTAATTGCTGCATGCATAAATCAAAGACCTGATCTTTTTGGTGCTGCAATTGCTCAAGTTGGGTAAGTTAAATTTTTAAATTTTATTATTAAATTTAATTATTTAAATTTTTTGATTTTTTTTTTTTTTATATATTTTACATCTATTGTATAGAGTAATGGATATGTTACGTTTCCATAAATTTACTATTGGTGTTGCTTGGGTATCTGATTATGGTAGTTCAGATGATTCGAAACATTTTGAAAATCTTATAAAATATTCCCCGTTACATAATGTAAGAGTTCCGGAAAATGGACAGTATCCTGCAACATTATTGTTGACTGCCGATCACGATGATCGGGTAGTACCATTACATAGTCTAAAACTTATCGCCACTCTACAATATACGTTAGGAAAATTACCGCAACAAACGAATCCTTTATTAATTAAAATAGAGACTAAAGCTGGACATGGTGGTGGAAAACCAACCATGAAAGTGGTTAGTATTTATTAATATTAATTAATTTGTAATATATTTATATATAAAATTGTCATATCATTATAGAATATTTTTTATTTTAGATCGAAGAAAGTACAGATATTTTAGCATTTATTGTGAAATCATTGGATTTAGAATTCAAATTATAACATATATTAAGAATATTAACATTCTTACATTTGATACTGTGCATAAATCTTCTAATATAATTCTATTTCTAAAGCATATTTTTATTGTCCTGCTTCAATCATTAATTTGTGTTGAATACATAACGCATAATGCAATATTATTAACATGTCAAATAGAAAAAAAATGGAAAAAACTATTTTATTTCTAACAATAATTAAAAAGCAGGATTATTTTTAATATTTATAATTGGAAAAGTATTTTCACATTATTATTATATATATTATGAAATACAGAAGAATGCTTTTTAGTAAATTATTTTATAAGAAAAATTTTTATTCTATGGAATAAAAAATTCATGTAATTTACTATAATCTATTTTTCATAAGATATATGGCAAAGTATGTTTTCCAATTTATTCTATTGTCTTTTAAAATTTAATAATTATATGAATATCTAATTATGTAGATTTTTTTTATTAAATATTAAATAATTAAATAACAAAAATAAATTTTTTATTATTAACATTTTATTTTCTATATAGGTTTAACAATAAAAAAATTTAAAAGTAAAATATTTTGAAATACCACAGTATATTTTTTTTATAATATTTATTTATAAAGTTTATAACAGAAACTATATATAAAATTTAACAATATGTATATTTTTGCTTTCAATATCACAATTAATATGAAATTTTTAAATGTGAAGTTATTTGTTAAGAATTTTTTAAAAATTAACAATTTATTAATAAAATTTCGATATTAATTTTTAAAAACATTTAGGAACTTTAGGATTACAAACTTTTTTTACAATTTTGTTTTCGCAGATTTATGTTTCATAAAATTACATTTCAAATGATATAAAGTTTTTATAATTTGAAACAAAATTTGCATAAATATAATATAAATAAATGAAACTAAATTTTTATTATTTTATTTTGAATAATTGATATGCATAAACATTTAATAATAAAAACTTATAATATTAAAAATAAATATAACATATTTTATCCCTACATATTTTATAATATTCATGTGTAAAAAATTATATCTATATTATAGATATCAATGTCCCAAAGATAATTATTGAACAATTTTTAATGTAAAAGCGATATGAAAATTTGATATTTCTTAATACTAATAAAATCACATATGTGCAATACCCTGAACACGATTAATTGAAGACTGGATATAATAAAAAACTGTATATATAAAAGAACTTTTTCATTAAGATATTATTTATCGATAAAATATATAAAAATTAATTTTTTTTACATTCTAATATCTTTATTTCAATAAATAAGAATATTATTTATTGACGTAAAAAAAAGTTTTATATCATAAAAGATGAAACAGTTTCATCGTAATATAATATATTTTACTTATAGCCTTTTCCATGCCCAATCTTCAATTATGGCACGTGATAACTTTTATACAATACTCGAATGTAAACGAAATATTTGATATTGATATTTGTGAATGTATTTGATATTTAGTTTATAAGTTCGTCACAATAATTGATGATCTATATTAGTAGTGAATAGGGCGGTAAAAAATTGTGAAAATAATTTACCCATATATTGTTCTTCTTTTACTGGCCACATACCTTCCATGAAACCAATATGTCCGCCACGAGATGTTACAACAACAGCTACTTTTTTAGTTTGTGATATTTCTTTCAATGGTATGGCTAAACATCGATAAGAAGAACAAAATGTATTAACAAAATTATCCCAAATAATCATAAATAATTTATTTCAAATAACTCATTTTAAAAAGATGCGTAGCTAATGCAATCGATTGATTAAGCTACCTTGAACTGGTTGAAATGGATCGTCCGCAGCACTAAGACACAATAACGGTACGTCAATCAAATGTAATTTGTCATGTATAGTTGCGTTGGAATAATAATCCTCTACATCTTTATAACCGAATTGTTTCACCGTAAATTGTGAATCAAACTCTCTTACAGTTTGACTCTAAATAAGCGAGAAGAAATATTTATACATATAATTATATATGCATTCATATCTTCTTTTACACAATTTGATATAGTTTGATAAAAATAATCAAAATCTTACTTTAAGAAGAGAGTCAATGTCAACATCGAACATTCCACTTTCCGAAGAATAGTGCAAGCGTTTTACTTGTTGACGAAGTGAAAAGGCTAAATATTTATTTAAAATCAAGTTAAAATAATTTTCTTCTGTGCTCTTTGTCGCGGCAAATACGTTCCATGGCACAGAAATCAAGAAACATCCTTTCAATTTATTTTTGGCTATTTTTCCTTGTCGTGCTAAATAATTGCCTAAAATTAATCTAAAAAAATATATACATGATAAGGAATGTTATTACGACAATATAATACATGCCATATATTAATTATATTTTTCACGTAGTTTTTTTAATAAATAATTTGTATGTATAATTTATTTAATTTTATAAAAGATTTGTTTATTACCTCCCATTGAGATTCCCGTCGCTCCAAGAAGTACATTGGGATGAATCTTCTTTACATAGTCAACAACCTCTGTTAAATCGTCACTATTTGCAGCACAATATGTTCGTGGAGTCTGAAATTTTATATCGATTATCTGACTAAATTTCTATTTCCAAATCTTTCAGAGTCTTTTTCATATGTTCTTTTTTATTTCCATGTATATTTCCCTATAAACGATGATAATGATCTTGCAACTTAATGAGATCATAATTTGCCATTAAAAGGTCAGAAGATTAAATATCGCTTTACCTTCAATTCTACGCCTCCTAAGCCTCTGTTATTAAAGATTACGCATCGTATCCCAACTTTTTTCGCGGATGAGACAAGGCATTTAATATATTCCGCTTGACTTGCGCCAGTGAGTCCTGGCAAAATAATCACAATTGGCGAAACAGCGGAACATCCTTCTTCTGCCCAATCCAAGGCCACTTCACCTCCATCTGACAAGGTCAGAATCTCTCTGCGTTACGATCGATTAATTAATTAAAACGAATCTAAGATAATTAAAATTTAATTATGCTTATTAATATTTTCTTATCATCATATTTTTAATCGTAAATTTTTTTCAAAAATTATCGATGACGCATGAATTTATGCATCGTGCAAAAAATGAATCAGAAAAAATATCAATGACGCATAAGTTCCATCGACAAATGTTAAAAGTAAACTTACCAACCTGCGATAGTGAATTGGTGGCAAGATTCGAGATCTAAGAACACTGGCTATAACTGTTTGTGCCCTTGATTCGAAACACCATAAGGTTGGCCAAAACTTATTCCTCACCAGAGGTACGTGTTCTTCTAGAAATTCTCGGAATGGTCCATTCGCGCATACCAGCATCGGTGTCTGAAAATCATATCAGAAAGATCTTTAATTTTTCTCCCTCCATCAATTTATTAGTGTAATAAACGGCTTAATGAACAAACATTTAAAGTGAACAGTTAAAGGTAACTTACGGAAGATATCAAAATTCAAATAATGTATTTATTTATAATTAACTTTCAATTTTTATAACTTTTTTCTTCTATAAATTCTGAGTTCTAATTATTGTCTCCAATTTTAATAAATATGATTTAATTAATATTTATACGTCATAATTATTATATAATGAGTTACTTGTAATGAATAATTATAAATTATTTTCTTTTTTCTTTTTTCCTCTCGTATTTAGATTCATATTGTTTCAATTCAATAATTTGTGATGTAAAAATATGAAAAAAATCTATTAAAATAAATATACCATTTTACTTTTATTTTAATGTCTTCTATTCTCCTCTATTTACCGTTTATCTAATATATCTTTTTTAAAAAGTTACGTATTATTTAAATATTTAGATATCATTAAAATTGGTTAGGTATCATTAAAGAGTCAAAGTAAATTAAAAAGAGTGAAAATATTTTAAAAAAGTTTCTTTAACTATTTATGCGAAATAATTAACATGTAATAACGAGATTATTTTTTAATTTGATTTCTAAAAATCATTTGTATATAATTAATATTAAATATTTTAATATTTTAAGTTTGAATTAATTTAAACTTTTTTTCTGTCTATTGAATATTATTTAAGAAACTTAAATGACGTTTATGTATAATTCAATTTGTTAATTATTGAAATACTTGTTTTTGTTAATATATATATAACAATTATAAAGTCAAGAAAAAAAAATGAATGTTCGTTATACGTATTTGCATCTCAATATAATGTCCGTAGACGAGCACAATGTTTCTGTAATTGGTTGCTAAATCGGTCTATTCTATATCATTCATTGAACTTAGCATTAAAAAATAAAGATGAAAAAATGAAAAAAAATTATCACATTTAATATTTAAAATGTTTCTTAAATACAAATACTTTATTGAATAATTCATTAATTCGATAATTTCGTAATTAAAAAAAGATATCATTATAATTTATAATTTTTGTCTTCTTTTTATTTTTTGTCAAACTATCTTTTATGTTTTCCTACTTTTCTCTACACAATATACATTATATCAAATTAATTTTTTATATTAATTTTTTCCAATCGAACCGAAGTGAATTAAATATTATTTATTTTTATATTTATTTAAAGAGAATTAATCATATGATGTAAAGTTATTATTTATTGTTATGTATATGTATAATTATTGTATAACACTATATCATTTTTTTATTTACTAAAAGTACGATATCACCTGTTCCGGTGTGCGTGCATTGCGCGTCGTACACTATGCGTGCACAATTGGTCGGGGCAAGTGCCTCGGAGTTTTAAGGTCAAATTAATAGATCGTACATCTCCTCGTGACTCGTACGAACCATGAAGGGTCGTGTGAGAGTTCGAAGTATGTATTCGCATCGCGGAAATCCTGATAATATATCGGCCTGATATATTATTAATACGATAATGAAAAATTTGTCGACTTAGGATACTTTTAGATAAATCAATCAAATAAAGATATAATTATTACACATCTTAAATATATCGACAAAAATTAGTTTTTAATGATATTTAATGATATTAAATAGATTATGAAATGATAAATAATAAAAAATATTTAAAATCTAATCTAAAATCTTATGGATATTAAAACTGTTTATATTATATTATATATAATATATAATATTGTATAATGATATTAAAATCTATTTTTTTTTAATTCGTTTTATAATTTATCATTTCTTCATTTATAAACAAATTTTTTATTTGAACGAAGATCGTTAAAACTATATTAACTTATTAATTAAATAATAATTATAACGTAAAATCAAATAATAAATATAAATATATCTTTATATCAAATTTGATTATCAATGATTCAATCGTGTGATTTTAATTAAATTTTTTTTTATTATAAATTATGCTTGAAAGATTCGTAAACTAAATGCTATGATTGAATTTAATAAAAGTTAAAAATTTGTGAATAGCTTTGTTAATTATTGTCACGTATAATTTGATTTGAAATTGAAACTCAATTAACAAAATATTGTTACGAAAACATAATATTTCTTTTAAAGTAAAATAAATAATGTGTGTTATTTTTAACGTTGAAATCGATATATAATTACATCATTAAATTATTTTTTTATGATATATTATCAATATCAATTTCATAAAATATTTGAAGTAATAATATGATACGTTTAATTTTAATTTTAATTTTTTTTATAAATAAGATTTCTTATTTATTTATTGCTTTCAAAAAAAACTTGTTTTTTATTAACGATAATCATAAAAATCATAAAAAATAATTCGATGAAAAAACAATAATGTAAGTACCAATAATGTAAGTACTTACTTTAACTACTTCAAAAAGATAGTAGATACAGAATCCAACGCCCAGCAGCGCCCCGTAGTAGACAACCGGAATGTCGAGAAGTGGTTCAAATATACTTAACATCGTGTACTCTATCGATACGTCCGACAGACTGCTGACAGAGGCAGCGTCAGGCAATATCACTGATCAGGAGACCACTGACTAGTACTGATAATCTTTACTTGCTGAATGCCGGTACCTACACAACCGATGGCTAAGCATTGAGACAGACTCGCGCGACTGCGCGGATGATGTTTAAATAATTGGACGGCCAACTAGCTTACTAGACAGCCAACCAGTACCACAAAACCATGCACCGACTATACGACATAGACATATACTCGAGATTCAGTCACGTGCACACCAATGGATCCGCTCCCACACTCATGAACTAACTCGTCACGTCATTTCGTACGTATACACATCCAGAAATATGGGAGTCGTGTGCAAAGTATGTAACGAGGAATTACATAATACGATCATTTGAACTTTTATATTACCACTATCAATGAAAGTGAATTCTACATGTTTTATCAATTGATAAAATTAAAATTAATGAATATAATAATATGTAAACAATATATTTTTTTTAATTATTTATAATTATTATAATATTACAATTTATTGTTCTATCATGTTAGTGACATATTAAGAAACATAGTTCTTTTATTCGATTCGATTATATCTACATTTTAATCAAAGTACTATCATGGTTTTATATGAAGCAATTTCGATGCGAACATAATAATTCTTTGTATATATGTAACAAATGTGACTGGAAGCCGCAATATTTCACTCGTATTAGTGTTTATGAATATAATCTATATGTCATTTATATATGTCACATCGTTTATTTTCAATAAATCGTACCTATTTTATAGTATAAGAGTTATAATTTGGAAATCATTCTCTATTTAAATTTTAATTAATTTAATTATATTATTCATTTTTTTTATTACTTATTTATTTTATATATTTTATTTTTTTTACTACTAAAAAATAAAATAGAATAAAATAAAAACTAATTAATTATAATATGTTTATTCTAATTAATATAATTTTTTTTTAAGTTTTTCAGTTATAATATTGAAAATTATATGTCAATATTATAATAAATCGCATGTTTTATTGCTTTAAATATATTATGTAATAAATGTAATAATGTATATATGTAATAAAATATGTAATACTCTATTTCTTTAATCATAAATATAAAATATAGATCTAATTGTGGTTAATAATATAGCTAATAATTATGTACATATATTATTTCAGGTTATAAATTTATGTGCATTGGTTGTAAAAAGTTTTTAAAGAGCATTTCATGAAAATAAAATTCAAAATATAATAGCAAATAATTAATAAGAGAATAAAACAATCAATAATTAAAGAAAATTAATAATTAAACATTAATTTTATCATATATGATGTCATTATATATATATATATATATTATGTTTAATTATAAACTAAGAAATCATACTTTATTCAGTCTAAAGAGCAGAAAAAATTATAAAGATATAAATTTTTGATTTGATATATGATAAAATATTATCATTATGATTGATTAAAGAAATAAGAAATAAAGCTTATAACATTGCTAATATGAGAGAAAGTATAATAAAGATATGATCAATTTGTAAATTTCTAATTGTAATAATTCATTATATAAATTTATACCTCAATAATTATTTACTTCAATAATTATATTTCATAAAGATGATTAATTAATTATTTGGTTTTGATTTTAAATATTATGGAAAAAAATAATATTTTAATATTATATTTATCTGATAACTATTAATATGAATAAATATAAAATATCATATTTTAATTATCAAACACAGGTTGTAATTATATTATATACAAAATCTTTAATCAATTGATTTTTATCAATCAATTGATAAATTATTTTTATTTAAAATTTTTTATATTATTACTTTTTTAAATTAGTATTAAGATTTATATTTAAAAAAAACAAAATACAAAAATATATACAAATTAATACAATGAAAATTTAAATTAATTTTTCTGTACATTTTTTTTTTTAATTATTTTCTTTATCAGTTTTCAAAATATCTAACTAATTTTGTTAATAATTAGCAGAAATACATTCCAGCATTTATTACTATCTATATCTTATTATTTTCAAGATATAACTAAATAGAGAGATATAACAAAAAATAATATTATTACGAGTTGCAACGAAATAATACAATTTTTATTATAATAAAATCTATACAGCAGAAATAACAAAAATCTTTTTAATAAATTTTAATTTAGAAATTGGCAAAGATATATAGAATACATAACTAAAAACTGTAATGTTTGTTTGTTTGTTTTTTTTTAATTAAAAATCGCTATCTCTTTTTATATATTTTAATAGTAAACATTATATTAAATATTATATTATATTAAATAATATATAATATATATAAAACATATGCAAGAAGCAAAGTCCTTTTTTATTTTTTTTGTTTCAAAATTGTTTAAAAATATTCTGATGACGCTTAGGAATGTCAAATATAATAAGAGATAAAATAGGTTCATGACACATGTTATATAAGTAGATCGTATCAATTTTCACGTCAATAATTGTCAGATAATTATAATAATATTGATAAAAAATTATTAAGATAAAAGATATATAAATATTTATAATAAACTTAAAATTTATATTTTGAAACTTATATTTGGTTTTCAACAAGAAACAAATTATTAATTTAAATTATAATACTCTATGTAATATATATGATCAGTAGAAATAAAAAGAGACAGACAATCAGGTACCAAGAAAATGATTTCTTTATTAAATACAGTCTTATACATTTCATGAATATAATGAAATCGTCTCGGCATCTGATTTTATTCACGTTTATTTTTATGTGACTTCGTGATTAAAAATCTGATATCTATTGTTTTATAATTTAACATGATATGTAAATTAAATCATCTCTGTTCAATTTTAAGAAAAGAAAGAATTAGAAATAAGAATCAAAATTTAAAAGAGTATTATATATTTATATATGAACACCGCCAGAGAACACTTCATGGTTCAAATTCAAATAAGAATATAGCAAATAATTACAAAAGAAAAATATAGAAGAATATATAAAGGAAATTCAACTTCAAAAAAAAAACAAATGTTTCTCGGCATGTGGTGTTAATTTTAAACTAGTAACAATTGAAAAACATAATATTACTCTTGACAATTATAATTTAAAATAATCTAAATACGCTTAACTATTGAACTTAATAATAATAAATAAATATACTATAAAGAATAACAAAAATGAAACTAACCAATTGAAGCTAATATACTATTAACAATAATAATAAGAACAAATGATAAATTTTATGAAATCAATTGACCCTCAATTAGTAGAACAAAACAGAATTAGATTAAATTATTAAATTATTAATTATTATTTAATTATTAATAATTATTAATAATAAAAAAAAAGAGAATTTAAATCATAAACGACAAATTATAAGATTGGAAATTATAAGTGAAACTGTGTTCACGAAAATAATCTCAAATTATCTCAATTAATTAAAAAGATAATATGATCAATTTCAATTCAGTTGAGGGACAATAATTTGAACAACTGAATATTTTTTTATTAAATGAAAATATATACCTGGCGACATCCATACTCGTTTACGTAACATGCTCGCATATAATGACAGAAAAATAACGGATAGTTACGGACAAAAGTATATTTACGAGCATGCAAAAATTTTGTATTAATTATCCACGCAATTAAGCGGAGATAATTGACGATTTCATCACGTTATCAATGGTTAAATAGAATCTATGTTTTTGATTTCAATGTAACAATTCAATTTCTTGGAAGAATTTCTTCATTTTATCATGAATTCCTTGTTTTGATTTAACACGCATTATTTAATTGAACAATCTTTCGTTACAATTTTTATCAATTAATCGATTCAATTCAATTTTATTATTCACGTAAGACGCGGATAAAGTATGAGAATTGATTCGATCGTCGAGCGAGATTAATTAAAAACACGGCACCATTGTCATCGGAACAACGAATGGTCTTAGATTTCGACCATTAATTCTCGCATCAATGTGTGGGGGAAAAAAAAGAAAAAAGAAAAAAAGAAGCGTCTGTGAAACACAAAAGAGAGTCGAAGTAAAAGGGTGATTGATAATTCGAGAAAGCTCCCGTTGTTCCGACGATCGATAAATATTTTTTCTTTTATCACCCCCCGTTACATTAATCATCTCAACCGACGTTAGACGTATTGCACCGCTCTTCAACGAAATACAAATACAACGTTTCAGCGTATAAATACGTTTTCCCTCAAACTATGGAAGGGTCGAAGTTCGTCGAAGACGGTCATCGTGACCCTTATAAAAGAATGATCGATCACCATCTTCTGATTTTACGAGGATGACCATGCTCGCACGAAATACATACAACACATAGATTCCATTCAAACAAAATGTGTAACGCGAGATCAAGTTATCTCCGCGTATTAAAATTTTTCGACATTTCTAGTCGTTTGATACGTACGTCTTACATTAATTAATCCTATTGAAACCAGCTACAAAAATAAAGTCATATGCCTCATAGAAGTAAAAGGGACGTTTTTTGGCTTCGTTCGGGGAATAGATAAGTCTTACTTAACAACATGGCGCATAATCATATATGTACACGTGTAAGTGTGTATGGTATAATTGCGTGCGCCTTGCAGTTTCAAGATACGTTACTACAACTCGCTTCTTTGTCTGCTGTGTGTCTTCTCGTAAAAGAAATTCAGTATCGGATGTTGAAATTTGTTCGCTATGTATCATAAACTACGACCGCAATTCGACTCACGAACGTATTTCGCCCAGGTACGGGTACGGGACAAGTCGCCTTTCCTAGAAGGACGATCACCACTAGCGCGAGCTTGCTCAATCTGGCGATAAGTGTCGTCGTCGTAGGTACAGGACAGGCTCTTTCTCAGTTTCGCTGCGCCGGTTTCGAAATTCGCCGGTTGACTGCCCACCAACACGTGTAGATCGTTCTTCACTTGCACAGCCCAGTCCCACATATCGGTGATGAAGCAGTTGCATACGAATGGATTGCCCAGTAAGTTGACCGATAACAGACGCGAATTGAACTTGAAAACTCGCCGGTTCACAGTGGCCAGACTGTTGTTGCTCAGATCCAGATGCTCTAGCAAGCGTAACTTTTTAAGACAGGCTAGATTCTCTGTGCCGGAAATAGTGTTGCTGGATAGATTTAATTGGGTCAGGTTTTTCGTCGTGGAAAAGAGATTTTCATTCAGATGAGTCAGATTACAGTTGCTTAGGTCGAGGATCTCGAGATTGGACAATTGTGTCGGCAATAGGGGGCCATCTTCGGGCACTTCTAAAGAATTTCCACTGAGTTTGAGTTCGATGATGTCGGTAGTGGTGCGATCACCGAACACCTTGGGATCGATGGGAGTCTTCAGATCGCAGTTGTTCAATTCTAGACTCTCCAATCGTGTCAGATTAGCGAATAATCCTTCTTCGAGCGTGTGCAATTTGTTTCCGGATAAGATCAGCTTCTTGAGAAAAGTCATGTGAGCAAATGTGTTGTTTCCAACGTAACCAAGATTACAATAAGACATGTCCAGATATTCTAACGATTCTAACGGGTTCAGCAAACTGACGAACGCGTCTGTCAGAGGATTATGCGAGATATCTAATTCTTCCAAATGTTTAAAAATATGGAACGCGTTTGGTAGACGTTGCAGGCTGCATTTGCTCAATGAAAGTTTATGAAGTTTTGGCAAATGACGCAGAACAACTGTTAAATCAGCGGCGAACATTGGATTACCGCTCAAGTTCAACACGCGTAGTTTACTAGCGTTTTTGAAAGCCTCTTCCGAAAGGCGATCTTGCAGATTGCAATTCGATAGATCCAACGATTGAAGGCTGTGCAAGTTATGGCCCAATGTATTTCCAACATCCAGGTGCCACAATTCATTATCAGCAAGGACCAGTTGCCTTAGATATAAGTTCTGTGCGAAGGCATCGCCTGGCAGATTGGTGATGCCAGTTTTTCTGATGTTCAAATATTCCAATCGAACTAAAGGTGCTAATACACTCGTCCAACTTAACGTGCGTAGATCATTTTCCGCCATCTCGAGTTCTCGAAGATTTTCCAAATGGGCAAACGCGATCGATGAAATGTGGGTCAAGTTGCAAGCGTTCAGCTTCAGGTATTCCAAATTGGCGAGGTGATCGAACGGGCCAGGCTTAATTTGTCCAAGTGGATTATGGGACAAGTCGAGTTTGTTTAGATTCGTTGTATTGTGGAAGAATTGTGTGTTCAGATGGCGTATACCGCACGAGTTCAAATCGAGGTAGAGCAAGGTGCGACATTTTAAGAAATGACCCTTAACCTCTTCCAAAGGGTTGTTTTGAAGTTCCAGCGTAATTAGACCAGGACTGTCCCTGTTGAAGTATTAAGTCCGTGATTATAGTAATGCGTTCATGAAGATACGTGTTGTATGGTTGGATTAATTTTTTATATTATCTAATTTCTATTTTTGTTTTTTCTGCTGTAATTAGAATGTTTGTAATATTACCTCCTCTTTCTAATTTATAGTATATTAAAGCACAAATTAGCCAATTCTTGCTAAGTTTAGTGAGAAGCTGATAATAGAAAACCAGAACGTGCAAACGAAATAAATTGAAATAGAATTTTGGATTGTTTTAGGAGCAAAATTTTTCTACAGTGCTGAACATAGAAGAAATGCTTTTTTTTTTTTTCAGAAGCTTAACAAAAATATAATTAATTTAATGAATTATTGCCTAAGTGACTTTAAATTTGTTTTGTTTGATTAGTGTGCAAGAATACATCTATTTTTTACTACATTAAATCATTGCTCAATTAGATTTTAATGATATCTATTAGACTTTATAGTATGTACTACTTACTTATCGCGTAGCATAAGTAGCATTGTTAGGATAACATCCACTGATCAGAAGCGAATTACGTGAAACGATTATTCAAGGTAATATTGTAAAATCAGATATATATATTTTTGACAATATTTACCTATACAGAAGATTAAAAATTTCTGAAAAACTTAGGAGGTATATTAGCATTTTGAATTTAAGAAAATCTATTCAGAGTTTTATTAAAGTTCTTTAAAATGTACTTTAAAATATTTCATTTAATGAATGAAAACAATTTATTTTTCTTGATAATATTTTTTTCAACTTATTTCTTTGAGGTTTCAAGATAAATTCTGCTATTCATTATTGAATGATATTTCAATATCTCTTTGAAAATATAAAAATTAATAATTGCGAATGCCCAAGATACATTTCTATATTTATTCGAATATTTTTTATATTTACAGAAATATTAAATATGAAAATAAATTATTAATTTCGACGCAATATGAAAAATTATTTTATTGTTATTAAACTAATTGAAAAAATTATCAAATAAATAAACAGAAATTCTCAAATTAGATATGTTAAGGATTGCAAATTAAATTTAAAAATAATAAATTTGTAGATTTCTAAATGTTTAATCAATGTTTTTAATAATTTTACTTGAAAATAAAAACAAAATTTCCAGATCATATTTTCAAAAAGTAATTTGAAAATTGTTAAGATGATAGAAAATTGTCGAAATTAAATATATTTATAGTTTATAATTGTATATTATTTTTTAATTAATTAACACAATTATTTTTCTAAAATGTGTGTTTTATTTTAATAAAAATATTATAGATAGATTTTGTTAAAATATACAATTACAATTTCAATTTGCTCAAATTTCAATTGTAATACTCCAAACAGATTTTCTTAAATTAATTTAATCTAATCAATTTAGAAAATCAAAGTTTTGCTATATGACATCATATAGAAATAAAAAATGTAAATTATTTCTACAAATCATTATCTCTACTTTTTTTATTATATAAATAAACAGTGCGATGATTCTTACTATTTACATATGCATGTATAGGAACAAGATATCTATAAAAAATGAATCTGAAAATTTATCTTACCTAAACGTCTCGGGATCGACATGAGTGATAGCATTTGAGGAAAAATCCGCTTCTAATAAATAAGTTAATCCGGCGAACGATTTATACTTGAGTTCGGTCAATCGATTATGTGCCATCTGGAGACGTCTTAACTTGATCGAATGTGGAAATGGAGCGACCTGTGCGATGTTGTTACCATTCATATCTAGAACGTAGACATTTGGACTAAGCTCGTCAATCGGGATGCTCGTCAAGTTGCTTTCAGAACAGTCGGTCACCCAATTGACACGGAAATAATGACAATGACAATCCATGGGACATTCTTGTTCCACCAGTTCGCCATTGTAGGCAAACGTTGATGTACCAAGAATGGCTACTAATAAAAGTAGCCCTAACATCTTAAATACGAGATATCTGTAAAAACGAAAATAATTATATTTATGTTTTTGCGTTAATATTGAATTATAAATATAAAAATTGTTAAAAATTGAATTATAGTATAGTTTATAATCAATTATAAAATATTTATATTATATTCATAATTTTTTACACAATATATGTGAAATGATATTTTATATTTTGACCGATGAGAACAAAATAAAGTTTCATATATGTACATACATATATATACATATATTTTAGATAACCTCTAATTAATTCGGTCAGATCAATGTCCGTATAGCATCGTTGGGAAGTCCAGTGTTAATCACGAATGATTCCTATAATAATTAACCTGATAAAGAAATCATATGAATTGAGAAGAGAATTTTTAATGATATAAAATGAATGAATAATGGATATTTCAATAAGAATTTTCATTCAATAATTTGATTAATTAATTTCTTTTCATTTAATATATAAAATTTATAAATTTATAAATTCTTGAAATGCATCACTATCATTGCATAGTTCGTTCTAAAAAATTCTAAAAGAAACTTCTTTATTTGTAAATAAATTTAATTCATAAAAAAAGATTTAATTTATTTTAAATTTATATTATATCTAACAGAAATTATATTTTCAATATATATACATATCTATGTACAACATAGAAGTAATTTGTAAACAACATCTTTAAAACTTTATAATATGTGACTTCCTTAATTTGATCAAATATTAAATTTGTAAACATTAAATTATGCTAATATATATTTAATGGATAAAAGATTTCACGCAATAATCATTTAAACTTTCTTATCACGTACAACATATACATATACAAATTACGAATGAATAGCGTTAGAGAAAAGGAGAGAAATCGTCGCTACCGCTGTCGAGATTTAGTTTAACCAGTTACAACGACGATGTTCACTGTAGTGTATTACCAACAAGATAACTGGCGAGGACTAATGGTTTAAAGCAAGTGGAGCAATTGTCAGTTAGGAACGGACTTCACAATTGGCGGTCGGTAATTTCAAGCAACAATGCACGGCGCTACAGGTCGTTGAGCCAGAATCGTTAATCGTTTCTGTAAAGCACTCTTCACTGGGCTTTCTTGTTGTTTTCACCTCCTCTTTTTTCAAAAATAAAAAAAAAGATGCATTGAAAAAGTCCTCGTTCGCCGGACAATTATTCGTTAAAATTCGTTGGTAACTGTAGTTATTCGTTACTCGAGACATGATTTAATTGGTATGCTATTCTTCTATCGGTAAGTAACAATTATCAAACGAAAGAAAAAATGAAATCTTAAAAAAATCATCGACAAAATATTTATATACAGATATATACAGTTTAACTCTCATTGACTCAACAAAAATATAATGGAAATATTATTATGAAAGACAAATTGCATATATATTCGTCATAATATTATTAAGCGTATATATATATACATTTCCATTCATTATTATCGCTTCGTTAATTAAACATGCTCGCCTGACGTAGGTAATTTCTACGTATTAAATTCCAAGCATAATTATCTTCATTATAGCGATGAATAATATTTGAAAGTTTCCATGTTGGCCAACGAGAAATAACTATATACAAAGAAAGGTGGCGACGCCTCTGGCTAGTAGTCAACTTCACAGAGAAAACAGAGAGGAAGACTTTCCACCAGAATGCTACGCGTATCACGCTCTACTGGTCTTTCATGTTTCCACGTATACTTTGCTTTCGGTCTGGGTTATTACTATATTTCCAAAAAAGTAAAAAGAATGAAGGATATACGAGAAAGTATGTTTTCGCTTTTTGATTCTTTCTTATATTTCTCGTTGTCGCCTAGCCTTTGGCGCCATGGATCTTTCGTTTTCGAATTTCATCTGAGTCAAGAACATTTCCCTTCTTTTCACACGACGATCGAAACGATACATGACAAATTAAATCAGTTTTCAGGCAAGAGATTCATATTTTTTGCAAATATCATCTCTTTTATACATCCTTTCCCATTGATACTTAAGATTTTCAAATATTGAACAAAGAATAATATTCCACGAAATTTGAAAGAAATCTGATTGCTTTCATTAATCGAATTGATTTGATTTTTCTCTTTCCAGAAAATTTATCGACAATTTCAATTAATTTTTTTCTGCTAGAATTTTTTATTGCATATGAAAATTAGAGAAAAGGTGACAACGTAGTGACAATACATCTCATAATCACGATATTGAACATGAAGTTATATTGCTTGTCACATTTGCATTTTCTAAACTCTTCTCATGAGTCACGCTTATATAAAACGCTGCGACGTAACTTCCTGTTTCAATTATTTTGATTGTTATTTAAGCTAGGTGCATTTCTTTCAAAATAATATTTAATCATTATTAAATAATAAAATTTAAAAGTTTATTATTGTATAAAAGATTGTCTCTTTAAAATTTACATTATTACAAATACAATATTAATATTGTAAATAAATATTATATCATTAATATATTTATATTTTAAATATAATTTTAACTAAAAAATTTAAATTAATTTATTTATGAATGATAAATAATTTATAAGATATTATATTTACAAGATAATTTTTTTAATATATTAATTTTTTATATTTTAACTGATATAACAGCTGAAGCTAATAACTAAAGTAGATATAGCAATATTCAAATTGAAAATAAACAATATTATTTTTTTGTAAAAAATAAATTTTCGATTAATATCATTTTAAATTAATACTTTTGTTTTTTTCTTTTTTTTTAATAAAAATAAACATAAGTTTCAACACTATCATTTTAAACAAAAAATGAAATCGTATATTATAACGTATATTATAAAATAATATAATCTTCTTTCAAGTTCATAAAAATAAACATAAATTTTGTTTTTTTAAAATCCTATTAAAAAACATATTATCGGTATAAAATAATTGTCATTATTGAATAATATTATATATGTTTCATGAAAATTCATGTTCATTGAATTTTAAAAATCTATCAAATGAGTATTTAGCGAAACGTGAATAGTTACGATCATTATATAGAATTTTAACGATTCATTCCTTTTTTCTCACTATTGTTCATTGTAATTTAGTTGATATAGATTGCAATATAACTATTCATGGGATCGTATTTAGAATTTGATCTGAATTGAAAATACACTTTACATACCGAAAAAAGCAGCGTATCCTTTCTTTCTTCCAATAAAGAGTGAGGTTAAATCGCGAACGTCGCGAGGATTTGAACGTGCCACTGGGCAAAGATAGATTGAACTGTGAGTTTGCAGAGATCCGGTTAAATTAAACCATGTCTGTCTGACCGAGGTCAGGGTAAAACCTACTGACGCGCACTCTCGTTCTTTCTGCGTCGTATTAGTCTTGCAATGCGCCTCTTCTCGGGGTGTTATGTGTTTCTCTCCCTCCTTTTCCCTTTCATATATGAATATATGTATACATATGTACTGTATTTCACCCCTCCTTGTTATATTACGTCTCTATTATCTGTGAGTAAAAAGTAAACAAAACTCTTATGCTTTGGATGAGACATTTTCTAACCTCTTAGACTGGGATATACAGTTTATCAGTTGAGAAAAACTATTTTTTCTCAATGCTGAACATTTAATTTGTTAGCAGTTTCATAATTCACCGTTATTTTATATGATTATGTCAAATCACGATTATATCCTTATTTAAGAAAAGAAATTCATCACACTGAACCTTGAAATTATACACATATTAAACGCATGCGCACTTTAACTAACCCTTTTTAAAAACATGTTATATTTATTTTCTATATTAATTCTTATAAATATTTATTTTCAAATTCATATATCATAAAAATTAATGAATTTTTTATATCTTTTTATTTTAAGCAATTTTTAATATCCTATATATTTTATTATGTAATCATATTTGACACGTGTTTATTGATTATTCACTACATATCTATTTAAATTATATTTTACATAAATATATTAAAAATTATTGTAAGCCAATAAATGATATTAAGCGATTTAAATATATGTGATAAATGTATTACAAAAACAATAACAAATATTGAAAAATGAATTGATTAATCGTATTTATTTTGCACTTGAGTAATGTTTATCACATAAAATTGTATATATGCAGATATACATATAAAGATATTTCTATATTACATTCATACCTTACTATTCTAATTCTTCCTGTTTTTAATCGTTGATATTTTACACTTTTTAATCTAATATATTTAACACTGAATTCTGAGGGATAATGATTAACACTGAAATGGGTACCGGTGACACAATATGCGCATGCGTTCTATTACTTTCGATCGTCTAGCAAAATTTGAATTGAAGATTGTTGTCTTGGACTTTATAACTGAGTTGAATAAGCTAAGGTGATATTTTTATCTATGACTTTTTTCTGAATACGAATTATTTAGCAAATATTATTTTATATAAGTTAAAATGTAATTTCTAAGCGACGAATTAAGCCTTTTTTTTTGCATTATTTATATGAATTGTGACAATTTGACAGACATAAATATAAATACATATATTTAAGATGTATAAAATTAGGTTAGGATTAAACTGAAAGATAGAATAATTGAGTCATTTGAATATCGATTAAAGTTTATTGAAAAAACTTTTCATAATAATAATATGAATAATATTAAATGATATTAATTATTTATTAAATAATATTAAATTATTTTTTTAGGAAAAAATAATCGTAAAAAATTGTGATACAATTTAGTTTTTCAATAAAATTACATATGATTTTCATTTATCAATTATAATGCTAATTGTGTTAGTGTAATATTTTTGCAATTGTCATAATACGACAAAGGTGTACGCATTAGATGCCTATAGAGGACAATAGGAAATCGATATGGCTTGGATATGGTACGTGTCACTCGTACGTCTGAAAGCGTTTATTCACGTAGTCAATGCGTGATTGAGTGATGAGTGCAGCACGTCGAATTCTGAAGAATTGCATTCGGCAGAATTGGAAGCGGAGATCAGGCATTACGCCAACATTGCGAAATGTCGGGAATGGGGATCTCATGATCTTGACTAGGAACAACGACCTGCCAGCCCCATTCGTATCTCTACGGTGAATGAGAGAGAGAGAGAGCATCGATTAACTTTGCAATTGACATTAGGTTTCTCGATAACGTGGCTTTGAATTATCGCCTAAGATTAATTCCCCCTTGGAACATGCATGTCGTAGTGTTGATTTCATTTTTCGAATATTGAAAAGATTATGAAAACATTAAGTAATTTCAATGGCATATAATTTCTTAATTATGCAATTAATCGTATGCAATTAAATTATAAACAACATTCAAAGATTAGATTTTTTGTTAGAACATTGGAAATGTAATAACTATTTATATTACTAATAATTATATTAATTATTTATTATTATTATTAATTCATATTATTTAATTTCTTTCTATAAAAATTTAAAAAAGATTGCACGAAAAATAATTACTGTTATTATATATATAAAATATATATAAAATTGTATATAAAAATTTATTATAATATATAAAGTTTTCAATTTTTAATAAATTAAATTTTATTTCGTGAAAAGTAGATAAATAAAAAAAAATGCATGTGCGATTCATTTAAAAGAAATTTAAATATAACTTTAAATGGAATTTCTTGACGTATTAAGCATACACTAATGAATTAAAAATGTATAAACAACAATATATCTACTAGTTTTATTTGGTATTATTTCATGCATCATTATGTTTGAATATATATAGGAATTATATATACATAATTCCTTTATATATATTCTTTATACGTATATGATCTTCGCATATATTTTATTCGATATTGCGTTATTACATAGTTTATTTTTAATACGCTAATATAATTATCAGAGGTTAAAATCATTACATTAACTTCTGACCTTGTTTATCGAGCCATCAGAATTAAAAATTAATATATATTTATCTTCACATAGTCAAACTTTTAATTTATATTGTTAATTTTTTCTATCTCCATTTTTATTACTTTCACTATTTGCAAATATTAATTTGCAAAATAATTTTACAAATTTTATAATATTACAATATAACAAATTTTAAAATATCATTTTTAATTATTTTTTTCTATTATTTATTTAATTGACAAATTTAAAATAATTGATTATATTTCTAATATTTTGATTTCAAATAAAACTGAAATATCACAATTTCATGTATTTAAAGTTATTTCAAAATTTATTTAAAGTATATAATTTATTTGTAAATTAAAATAAAATTATAAACAAGAAAATAAACAATAACATTATCGATTTATCGACATGCAATCAAATTATTCGTTCAGTATGTTCACAACCAGATGGCGCTAATATATCATCTCCATCAGATATACACATAAATCTTTCTTAAAAAAAAAAAATTATTCTTAAATGATTATAATTGTAAAAAAAGTAAACAAAAATTTATCAATTTAATATCAGACAATTGCGTGAAATTTAAAGAATAAATTATCATTTTTTTTCAGCAAATATATCTTTACTTGTCAAAAGATAATTAGCAAAAGTATAATTTTATCATTTGATCTGTGATGAAACAAAAACAAATAAATATATAAATATAACCATTAAATACACACACACGTACATTTAATATATATATGTATGATTCAAAATTAAAAGTGTATCAGAGTATCCTGTACATATATTAAATTTTTAACTTAAACCGAACGTTACATTAACATTTTATAACAATTCTTGAAAACATTAATTGTAAAAACCTCTTGGCAATTATTCTTTTACTTATAGATTTATATCGGAATTATAACCGTGAGTTCCACGGTTATATATTTTTTGGCACTTATATTCTCCTGAAATTATGTGAGAATGACTTTGGCAAACGGCCAATGTTCCGCGGACTATGCGGAGACAACATGTACGGAGCAACGAACTTTGGGAAGCATCACTTCGAACAAGATTCTTTTTCTTTTTCGTTTTAGATTTTTAATCCTGATATTGTGATTTCTTTTTTTTTTATTTTACTTAATATTATATCAACTTATTTCAACTTAATAAGTAAATCGTGCGAATAATTTTCGTCTTTTTGTTTAATAACAATCAATATAATAAAATCTTTAAGAATTATGGAAATATTGGTTAGAAAAAACTAGTTACGAAAATTATTTTCGAATTTATTATAGTTTTCGATAAGAAATCAAACGTTTTATTTAATTACCGAATTAATTAGAAGTATCGTTTCTTGAATGAAAGTTTCTTCAAGAAATCGGCTCGAACTCCCGTAATACTCCCGATGTTACGAATGTGCGAAGAGATAAAGTATTCTCAATAGTGTGCTCGAGAAACATTCTTAACATCGCACGCGAGCGATCGTGGCCACGGGTATCCAGTTAATTCCACGCAAGTGGTTGCTTTTGTGCTATCAACGGTATAACGGCATTGTTACGATAAAACGAAATTATGCGTATGCAAGTATCATTGCATACGAATAACCGTTGAACTCTTTAGTAGTATCGCATCCTTATAAGATGACTGTAATTCATAAGGTGAATATGTTGTCGTTCTATAGAGACGACCGATTACATCGATTTTCTGCGACGCAACGGTCGATTTTGAATCGTAATTACCGCATTCATCTCACGTAACACGTAGAACGCCTAAGCACGTCGCAACATGAATACCACAGCTCGGTGCATGTACATAGATTTAATCCGCGGACGAGTAACTTTGTTAGAAGTAATTTTCGCCGAGTAAGAATAATCTCGGGTTCACGCGTCGCTTCGAGCTCTCGGCAGTCGGAGTTAGGGCGCTGCCTAGGCTCGAGGTTAGGGTTGTCGGGAGTCGAGAGGAGCCATGGAAGTTTGGGGTTAACGGTATGGTGGTACTGGCGGCGACGGTGGTGGTGGTGTGGTGTGGTATGGTGGTGGTGGTGGTGGTGGTAGTGGTGGTGGTGGAAATGGTGGTGGTGAGCGAGCAACTGCGCAGATCCCGAAGTCTCTCAGCCGCGAGTACGTAGGCAAACTCGGATTCAGTGAGGACTGACTGTTCCCGTTTGCAGTGCACCTCGAAATCTCAGGGAGAAACCGCGGTCTTTCGTCCTCTCTTTTTCCTTCTCTTTCTCTTTCTGTCTCTGTCTTCCTGTCTTCCTCTTTTTCTCTATCTATCTATCTTTGTCCTCCGTCTGTCCGTCCTACTCTAGCCATCCACTTTGCTTCTCCCGTGTCTTTTGTTGTTAGTTTCTCTCACCGCGGCAAAGTACGTGCTTAACTTTTTCCGTTCGACCGACCGTCTCTCTATCTCTGACACGAAGTTCGTGCACGAACCACTGTTTCGATTCTTTTCGAAGCCAGTCTACACGCTAGCTTGCTTGCGGCCCGATGTACCACACGAGCGAGCGGTGTCTCGCGCAAATTCCGGCTGTTCCCCATGGCTAGTCACGTGGCTGGCCAGTGATTCGAAATCTGGTTGGTTTCGCCGTACGTTGTGCGTTCCGGATGAAAGGTGCGTGTGCCAGTTGATCAAGGCTCGCTCAACCGTTGGACGTTTCACTCGTACGGGACGGAATCATCCGGAGTCCCGAGAACGTGTGTGCGAAATCGACGGTGGACCGCAGGTCGATGTGCACAACTCTGGGGAGACGTACTGAAACTTCACGTCTGTCTGTGTGAGTATACCTTGTCACTTTTTTTTTTTCTTTTTGCACGCTAACAATGACTCACGGACGTGTCCGCCTCTGGCGGCGAGTCAGCTGTACGCGAAACGAAAGAATTGTTCTTCCCTTTGTCGCGTAACGGTATTAAACAAATCTCTGCGCGTTATACTTGAGTTGAGTGTGATTTCAATTAATTCTTCGATTTTTTTACATATAAAAGTCTTAAAATAATCATTCGTTAAAGAGTAGCTATCAATTATTTGTTAAAAGCGTATTTGTAACACGTAATTATTCCTATTTTATATATATATATATTAATATATAATTAATTAATTGTTGTTATGTTATACTTTAACTACGAAGCAGGTGAATTTTAATTTGAAAAATTCAAAATTGCAAGAGTAAACGTAACGGAGACACAGATTATAAAATATCCTTTCTATCAGTTTGACTAATCGTTATAATTATACTTTATCTCATTTAACTTTCACAATATGTGTTTCAATGTGCATCATACACACGTAGTTCCATCCTGTAATAACGATCTTTCAAGGCTATTAAACTATTAAAGGATTAATTATCACGTTACATTATATTCATATTTTATAAAATTCTTCAGAAGAGAGTATCCCCGAACTGCCCTTCTTTCATAGAACTGTCCTTAATCGACGAAAATTCGACGTTCACCTGACAATTGTTCGCGCAAAGATTTCAATATTTCACAAACTCGTCCCACTTTTTTTTTAAAGAACTCCTTAACCGTCCGACGATTCTCGATAAAACGAAGACGCGTGGGATGATCGTTATTATCGCGAGCAAAGGTTAATATGATTTCGCAAAAATCCGCAAAAGCGTGCACGGCTCAATGGTTAAACGTATATGACTACGCGCAACTACGAGCGAGCCAGTCCAACGATTTCGCGGACTGTTAAATATATTAGATCGTGTCCATCGGCAGAAAGCGTGTACACGCGCATGTGGCGCACACGGGGATCGGCTCGCCAACTTCCATAATTAATTTCCTGATATCGAGAGGAGGGAAAATGAGGTGGCCGCCATCTCGCAGGGGAATGGAAATATATACTTCTAATCCCGATAACTCCCGTTTCACGGTTGCTGCTTAATGAAATGCACCCTTACCCCCTTCGGACAGATATTACTATTTTTCCGTGGAAAATATCCCCGTGGCTATTATTAACATCGGCTTATATCGAGGCATTAAGTACGCGACGGAATGCCGATCTCTGCCTCCCTTTTTCTGCCTCCTCTCTCCTTTCCCTCCTTAACTTTCGTTAATCCCTCTGTGGAATTAAATCGTTGGCCGTGTTACGGGAGGGGAAAATCGGTAAAATTAAACGAGTTTGTGGCGCGACGGCACGCAACCAGAGACGACACCGCCTAACAATCGCCAAGTTCATAAATCATGCTCGCGTCCACTTTGCCACACGTCGACAAACATCGGTGTATACATGCCTCGAACGTCTGATTAATAATGTCCGTTGTGTGGATTTCGCGAAGCAGAATCACGTTTATAATATCGCGAAAGGGGGGAACGCTCCCTATCCGATCTTCATCGTGTGGAACGTGCCGGTTCCTATTGTTTGCCTTTCTTGCTCGCCCGTTTATTTCGGCCTCGTTCCTTCCTCGGAAACATCCCCGGGACGATGTTGTTTAACGGAATAATAATTTCGAAATGATTTGGCGTTTAATTGGGGCAGATTGTTGACTTTCCACGAACTTTTTGTTGTTGTGTGTCGTTAATGATTTTGATAATAATTTAATTAAATCGGTAAAGAGGATGGATAGCAATATTATTATTATTATTGTTATTACGTGTTAAATATATCGAATAAAAATAATATCGCGTTATCTATATAAAGTTTTCCTCTTCTTCTATATTTTTCTAAGATTTTCACGGGGAACGAAACAATTTTATGGATTACGCAAATATTTGGCTCGTGATACGTGGGATATAATTAGAAAAATCTTTTCCTTACATGGAGAAATGAATCTGCAAGATGGGATAAAATTTCATCTGAAATTAATTGCGTTTTTGTATAATTTTTTCTTCTTTTTTTTTTTTTTTTTTTTACATTTGCCATGTTTTGTAATTGGGAGATATATAAAATGATTCACTTTTGCAATTTGTTTTATTAGTTCAACGATGTAATCGTTTTAAGAAGATTTTGTTGGGATGTCTCGATTCGATATCGCTCGATTTTTATCCATGGAATCGCATTAAATTAATCGTGCATTGCGATAACGAGTGTACGAGCAATTAAAAGGGAAAATATGATTTTGGTACTTGATGAAAAAAAAAAAAAGAAAAAAAGAGAGGAAAAATAAAGCACGCAAAAATGCATTTGTTAAAATATTATTATTACACCTCTTGCGAAACACTTCAACATACTTCTAAAATCGTTTTTCACTGGTAATTTTATTCAACACCCGATAAATACTCTTTGTGACAAAAAGGATAAGAGAGATGAATTTGTACAAAATATAAATGGATGAAAAGGATATCCTCGCGTTTTATTCTTTAATTCGATATTATTCGCGACGATGGAAATTATCTTCAATAATTTTTCTTTTATATTAAAAAATGAATTTACGATACGATAATTCGAGAATTTTATAAATTAAATAATCATTGATTTTCGAATCCATATAACTTTTCCACGTTCGATATTTTTTCGAATTGTAGAGGCAAATATTGCGAATTTAATAAATAAATAAATAAAAAAAAAAGGCATTTATCATGTTTCGACAAAAAGCAAAGTAAAAAATTGATTATTTTACCATACGCCTTGTTCCGCCATTCGAATTTTGTTTCAAATACTTTTTTCGCGATAAATTTTTGTCACGATGGCAAACGTTTACGAGCACGTAACTTAAAATCATCGAATCATCTTTTATAATCATTTAATAAAATATTTAAATTTTAAGGAGTGGAAAATTCGTGGAAATTTTATTTAGAATTTACTCACTATCTGAAAAGAGGATCGAGTAAAACTCCACCGCCGAATCTACAACTCTATCTCTTCAGGATAAAAAAAAAAAAAAAAAAAAAAAAAGAAAAAACATCGAACAAAGCCAGAAGATTTCACACAATTAAAGGCGAGGTTTGAATGCACCGTCCGATGCGATTGCTTTCGAAAGATCGATCTTTCGGGAGAGGAGCCAGCCCTCCTCTATGACTCGACAGTGGATAGGAACCAGAAAGAAAATAGAGGTATACGAAGTATGATTATCGCGGATCCTCGCGTTTGTTTTTCTTTTCGTCGTCGTTGTGCCGTGCCGTGTTTTATCGTACGGTGGAGAGAGGCAAAAGGGAACACGGAACGGGAGAAAAATTACGAAACAGCAAGATGTGTTCGTGAGAAATTTTAATAAACGTGAGGGGAGGGATACACGCGCCCTCCGGATATTTTTCCTCTTTTTTTCTCTCTCTTTTC